CTGCCTCAGCTCTTCCTCAGGAAACGTAGGGTCGGAGAAATCTCTTTGGCTGCCAATGCACTTTTCAATGCAGTCCAATTTTCGGAGAGTCCTTCCGATGAGGGACGCTAGTGCAATACTTGAGCTGCTTCTGTATATAAAGCACAAATCAGCAGCTCTCAATCAGTCGAAGATTTGGTGATTGAACCAATACAGTTTAGCACCACTTGAGCGCCCCAACCTTTACCGAGCGGTCTGCATCCGCTTTATAACATCAGTTAAATTATTTATGCATCACATTCTGTACTGGTCTGACAGTGCACAGCAGCCTACATGCATTCTTCCTATTTCTTCGTGAGGTGCAGTTATCAACTTCTGAGCCACTGTAGCTCTCCGCGCAAACCCGCCGACAGTTGAACGGTTATATTTATAAAAGGAATCGTTTACAGGGCGTGTCTCAGTCATGTTGTATGTCGGCGGGCACGGCAACTGTATGTTGTTCGCTCGCTGCTAGCTCGAGCAGAGCACTACTCGCTGGCGCTTTGCTTGGGCTGGTGGTTCTATCTTCGCCAGGTGGGCAGGGTGCCCAAAGGAACCTTACCCACCGGAGCCGAGAAAAAAGTGGAGTTGCCAGTTTAAATGCGCTACAAGTTTTTTTCAAGTTCTTGTAGGCAGGATAGGATGAAAAGTCTCATTCTTTAATACATTGTAGTGTGAGGAAATGATACGAGACGTAGAACGTGGAAAGGACTCTTGCAAGTCACTCGCGAAGGAATTGGAGTGTGCGAGAAATACAGCATCCGAAGTTTCATCGGAGGTATATCTGTTTTATTCTTTCAGCTATATTCTAAAAGTTCCGTACAACAACTTAAACAGGGCTTCTTCTCAATAAATCACTCATATAAAAGAAAGAGTGAACACTACTTATCACAGTCTCAAATTTGTAAACGATTTAATATACAACCTGCGAAATTCAATGTTGGAAAAAATAATGAAGAAATGCTGCCAGACCACGTGGAAACGTTTAAATTAGCAACATTTTTGAAAATCGTAACATTTGGTAAGAGAAACTGGAAGAGAGGTAATCATTCAAAAAGATATGGTTTAGTAAAAGTCTTTTGTAAAAAATTCAAAAAACGATTAAAGAAAGTTAGAAAGGAGAAGAGTGAGGAAAGCTTACTAAACGAACCCAAAAGCTGTTTTTACTGTACTGCCTCTAGCAAATTCTCAGTATAAATTCAAAAAAACTTTGGAATGCTTTTTAGATTACTAAACACTGAAAAGTTGTTTTTCTGTTCTGGTCAGCAAAAATGGTCTCAGAAATGTTCATGAGCCCCCTTTCGATTCCGGAGATGTTCCTCTGAAGAATTTTCATACATTAACACTTTTTAAACAAAAGTTAATGCTTTAAATTTTTTCTTGCTAACACCATTTTCCTAAAGTTTATTATTCTGATGATTCAAACCTGAGCTATAGAATTACCCTTAAAATGCATAAAATTCCAGAAGATAAGTACAATAGTCGGAGCTGTTACCGCAAAATCATTTTGATGAAAAACCAGAAGTACAGAAGCAGCGTTTGATTTTGACTGATGTTGCAATAGATGGCTTAAATCTTCATAATACGATTTGTGATATTTCTTTTTGCTCATCTTTTCCAAAGGTGCTCTAGTAACTGCAAACTAGTCAGCAAAAATGGTCTCAGAAATGTTCATCAGCCCCCTTTCAGATTCCGGAGACGTTCCTCTGAAGAATTTTTATACAATAACACTTTTTTTAATACAATTGTTTATGCTGAAAATTTTATTAAATAGTATATTAATTGGCTAAAAGAGCAGAATTAGTAGACCATAAAAATAGTATATACGACAAAAAGCCAAATTTGGGAAACCTTTGGTAAAAACCTCTGTAATAATCTAAAAAGTTAAAAAGGTTATGCTAATATCTGCATGATGTAGTGCTCTTAATTGACGCTTATGGGGAAAAAATTGATTTCTTTCATACTATCAACCAAATTTGAGCAGAAGGACCACTACTTCGGCAATGCTTTTGACATTTCTACATTGATCAATCATTCAGAGTTCCAATCTTTGTCAAACTTCTTAGAGAAACTAGTGATGGAAATAATAGAACTTAAACATCTCCTTAAGGTGTTTGATAAACAGTCGAAGACAGCAAGATGAGTATTGTATAAAAATTCAGTTTTTTTTTGAGATTTTTGAAGTGAACCTGCTCAACGAATTTTTTTAGATCTGTTGAGCCTTGCCAAAATAAATTCAAAAAACGCCTAAGGCCGAATAAAAAATGAAAGTTGTTTTTATTGTTGAAAAGCAGTTTTCTTTGATTTTTTGTACGATTCTATGTCTTCATTACTGCTCAGTGCATTCTGAAAGAAAAAAAAATCTTCAGCTAATTTCCCGAAACTTCCATTGTGAACGAGAGAACAGTCGATTTGTGAACAAGCAGATTGATTTCTCTGCTTTACTGCGAACTCAATTCTGGAGCACTCATTAATGTTAAAGCCAATTTTACAATCGCAAAAATCTTGTTTTACGTCAAGCTTTTCTGATTAAATCTTTCGATGTTAGAGCAAAATTTATCAATATGAGCACAGAAAAGGTTGATAAGTTTGAAATTACCTGAACAAGAAAGTTTTTGGAGAAAAAGTTTGTGAAAATGAAAGCCGTATTTTGCAGTATCAACGACATTTCGGTGTTTAATAGGTCAAATGTCTACCGTTAAGGTGTGAAAATCTTAACTTTAATTTTACAAAACTAAAGCAATTATTTACAAAATAAAGCGTGTTAACAGTTGCTAACCTTCTAACCTAACCTTTCATAAGAGAAGCAGTACAAATTCTTGAGCAAAAATAGTTCACATGTTTTGTTCATACAAGTCAGAAGAGCAAAATGTTCCTGTCTTATTTTTTGCTTTATAATAACAATTCTGAACTGTAAAAAACATGAGCAAATGTTATGTTGTAATTTTTTTTATAGAACGAAAAACTTCAACTTGATCTAATAAAAGAACAGAGGGCACGCGAAGATCTGGAAAAGACGATAAAAGACTTGCAAAAAAAAGTAAGGAATTTAGATTTTCATTTTTATTTTAAGTACAGTGATTTTTTACAACTTAAACAGTATCAAAGTAACACAGCTTAAAACTAGAGAATGAAAGCAAAGAAATGCGGTCAACAAATTTAATATACTTCAACAACAATTAAAGTTTCTAAGCTGCGTGTTTAAACCATTTTAATCTAGTTCCTTAACAGGTAAGTAGGAATTGAGCCAACTAGTTCAGAATTATACAAAAGAATGAAGTCGAGCTACGAATCGTATGCATAAAATTGAAAGCAGATATTACACGAAAAAGTCAAATTTTGGAGTAGACATGGTGAATATCAACTAATCAAAACTGAAGTAGTACATCAACTGCATATTTTAATTGAAATATTCTTGATTATTCCAGTAAAATTTATTTTTTGCAGTAAAGTAATTAAAAAATTGTCAACCGCGATGCACTCTGGTTAGCTCATTCTTTGTTTTATAACAAATACTGCTAGCCAGGTTATGCGATAATAAGTTTAACGTGTATTAAAAAGCATAGGTTACTGGAATGTTTGTGCATACAGTGATAGATGGCTTGAAGTAATTAGGTCTCTGCAAAAATTGTTTTCAACAAAGACAATAGTTGTGGTAGACTGTGGAAGCAGAATGAAAGAGGTTAGATATAATAGTGTAAGTAAAATTGTTGAGGGAAAGCAAAAAAACTGCAATTTTGAATGCAGGTCTATCAGGATAGTTAAGGTTACCTTGAAGATTTTCTAGCTAGGGTAAAAGTTCCTTTATGTCTCTTTTCCCATACTTTGGAGTATAGCGTTTTGTTCCCACTGGATTTGTGGTTAACGACTACCCTGCAATCGGATAAATATAGTGTAAATAAATACATTGTAAAGATGAAAGAAAATGTGGTATTTGCAACCTTTATTCTATTATTTTTCACAGTGGAGAAAATAATTTCTGCTTTTTTTATGTTGTAGTTTGAGGAAGTGCAGCATATTTTAAAGATGGAAAAAAAATTGCGATCCGCATGTGCTTCGGAAAATGAAGAGATAAAGAAGGCGAAGGAGGAAGCTGACGAATTGGTAAGTACATTTTTTGTCTTCTACCATTTCTAGAACGGACGTCCACATTTCCCTCAGATAATACTTTGCTTTTTCATTAGCTTATAATCTGCCCTGTAGCCAGTAGATAATGTATACAACTAGTTATTTTTCTGTTATACCTTTTGTTATCACCCTGAAAAAACTATTTCATGAGCGGATTTTTTCAGCATCAGGGGATGAAGGAAGATTTGCAGCGTGCCAAAGAAAAGAATAAAAGACTTGAGAGTGATTTGAGAGACGCGAAACATAGAAAAGAGCAGATTGAGGAAGCGGTAAAAACATAGAAAACTTTTGCGCTACACGTTATACTAAAAGTCACAATGGCGTAATCTCGTACAGAATTACTTTTTAGTTAAAGGATGCGGAACGTGAAATTGAAAGACAAAAAGATATTATCAATAGGCAGAAACAACAAATAGAACAGTTAAAGGATAAAGTAAGAAAAAGTTCTATATTTTTCACATTAAATTGCCAATGAAGGTCACTAAACTACTTTCAGTTAGCAAATATCTGCTGGCATAAATGACGCTAATTTGTGCCTGACAACAACACATCGGGAACTCTTCATCGCTTTTTCTGTTCCAAAATACTAACCTTCTAAGACAAACTTGAACAATTAATAATTAAAACAAGAAAATTCTTGATATCTTTGGTTACTTTTAAATGCCGCATGCTAGAGACGTAATTATAAAGCACTGATGAAGAATTTTATCTATAAGAGGTATTTCCAAAATCGCGAAGTTGCGTTCTAAGACATTATTGGCATTAATTACTTTTTATTACTAAAAAACTAGCTTTTCTTGTCATTTGACAAGGAACAACCAAATACATTTCTCATTTTCTCCCTTGCTTCTTTTAATATCAGTTTTTGGCACTGAACTTTCAAATTAAGCTTAAAATCCTCAAACAATTTAATAGGTCAATGAATCATTTAATGAAAAAAGGAACTGGATCACCAAAGAAAAACCCTTCAGAAACAATACACGACCACCCTATTTAAAGTTTAAAGGAGAACAGGTAAATAAACCCAGAAGTTGCTCTTCACTTTGTCACTATAACCATTCATCTCCATTTTTTCTAATGACTTTTTCTTTGTCTTCTTTTTAAAAAGTTGAAAAATTTATACCTTTTTTCTTCAAATAACATTTCTAAAGCTTCTTAATCTCGCTGGTGTTCTTGTAAGTTCTAATTTATGAATATCCGTCCTGACTTCAACAGCAAACCAAGTTTTAAATCGCATGAGTCAAAACGTTATTCTTAACAGACGCGAAGCGGTAATGAGGTAAAAAAGACAAAAATAATTTTTTAATATTTTAAGAGAAGAAAGAATACAAAAAATCATTCATTCAATCATAGCAAAGTACTGTATAAAAGCTATTAAAAAAAATTTTTGTTAAAGAACCTGCTGCTGTATTATTCTGATAGTAAATAACAGCCCTCGCAATGTCACAAATAATTTAGCTGCCTAGTGAATATGAGAGCTCAGCAGTTGCTAGTCCAGTCAAGTCTACATTTTTGCCATTTTACACAGTGGTCCTCTTTTCAAACTTGCGCCTTGAAAGACCAATTCAAGATGCACTTTTAGTACTCTGATCTTGACGATGAAGAACCAGAAGATTGTTCCCAAAAACCGACAAATGTCTCGTACCAAGAACGCCATTCTCAAGAGAAGCGGAACAGTGAAGAAGTGAGTAGACATAGGTGACTTCTGAACATTTCAGAAATAAAACTATGCAATAAGTTGTTTACGAAACCGTAACAAGGCCTAATACAAAAGCCAGTGATACAGAAAATTTTGCTGGAAAATAGTGACTATGTCATTTTGACAGTTTTAAAGAGTGCTCATACAGTTGTACTAAGCACTCTTGGTTGAACGTTTTGAAAATTACTGAAAAACTGCACTTACAGAATCAGCCAAATTAGCGGCTGTCAACGTAAAATACAGTGTTCCCTTCTTTCGAACGTCTGCTGTTAAATTTAGTTTGGAATACACTTGTTTCAGTATGATTTGCACGATAATAAGTTATAGGATCGTGCCGGCAACAGGTTGCAAGAGCCACAGAGAGCCAGATGGGCATCACAACCGGGGCGAGACGGTTATGAGGTAAACGATCAAAAATGGTTTTTTGACATTTTAAAAATAGAACAAGGTATTTTGAAACACTCCTCTTCCTTCCAGAAGAACACAAAAAAAAAATCAATTTTAAAGTGCAACTTTCTTAGCTTGATGAAGACGGTGGTGAAACAAACTTACACTTTCAGAATCGGAGAAATAACTCACCACTTGCGGATCGCTCTTCTTTACAGCGACAAGTTAGTTCAGTAAGTGGACAAGGTGGTTTAACATAATACCAAGAATGAATCGTGAGGAAAAAATTAATCATGCAGTTGTTATAAACAAGGGCGAAAATGAAGAATTTTTTGACAGGAAAATCTACGACTGCATCGTTCTGAACATTTATAGAACTGTTTTTACTATTTTTTTGTGCTGATGACTAATTATCAGTGAGTCTAAAGGTCTGTTTGAGGACTGCGCGAATAAAACTCATTAAACTTATTTTTCCAGTTTTGAAAGAAAGTTCTTATTTCCGTTCTGTAAAATAATCTTTTTTTTAGCGTGATAAGCGAAAAAGTAGTTCGCAGAAATGGACCCCGCGGCGGGAATGTGAGAATTCACCATCGGTAAGACATATCAGTTTGCTACAAACTTTAACCCCCACTATGCACTTAAGCATAAATTTGCAATAGGTGACAGGCAAATTAAGGGCATGCCATCTAATCTTAACCTACTAAATTGCATCAGAATGCTATCCTCCCTTTGGAAACATTTCCACGCTAATTTGTAATTATAAAAGGGCAATTTTGTAACCACTATTTCTTCAAATTGCAGCAGGAAATATTATAAAACACTAAGTTCAGCCGTCTAAATCATCGGTTTTAGCCTCGTCGGTCTGTAAGCCCATCTGCAGATTTGCAATCAGATGAAGCACAGGAAAGCGACAGGTCTTGAAAACTATTGTCAGTCGTAATTTACGCAATTTCAAAAATTTTTTCAGGGAAAAATTTTCCAAATTTCTACTAAAACAGTACTTCCTTAACGTTCCTTTGCCTCCGTAACTCTTCTGAACTTTAATTCATCAAAAACCGGAATTAGGACTGCAGCTATATTCTGTCAGAGAGGCATAAAAAATTTTTTTTGAAGACGATGCCTTTTTTAGACAGCGGAAGTACAACGATATCACGCAATTTGAGGAATGAAACAATCATTAAAGTCTTTTCTGGAGAGTTCTTATTGACAGAAGACGGTATACAAGGATTTTTGAATGCAACTTTAGAAAAAAATTGTTATTTTCATAAAGGTGTTAAAAATGCTTACAAAAGCTTCGTCTTTTTTTCCTTTCGTTGTAACTATCGTCTTCCAAACTGTAAGTATTAGAGTTGGCCAACTTAATAAAATAAATTGCAACATGTGTTGTATTGTCAAGTTTACCTTCCACAACACCTAATTCAAGCTTTCTCCAAAGATTTTTAAAATTAAAGCAATTTCAGGCAAACATTTATAGCGTTTTTTTTATCACTAAGTGTTTATTTTTATACTAAAAAACTTATAATCAAATTAATTTTCATCAGAGAGTTGAATTTTCAGCCTTATCAGAAATAAGTGAGATTTGTCCAGTAATATAAGCACGGTTATTGCAGTGGAATAAGTGGAGGTAATTCAAAAAACGAATTGTAATTGACACGGAAAGCAAAAACAAAAAAATCAATCTTTCATAAACAAAAGTGCCTTCAAATTTAAATCTACCGATTTAGTAGGTGCTGCAGTATTGAGTTTTAAGAAGCCACAACAAGGCTCAAACGGCACACAGGACCAACAATTTGTTAATAAATTTAAAAAAATAAAAAACATTTTTATTAGATTCAACAATAGATAAAATAAAGAAACTTGGAAAGAATGCAAATAATAGTAATCGAAAAGAGGCGAGAAAAGAAACAAACCAATGAAGTAACAGTAGTTAAAGACAGAGCAGCATAGTGTAACAGCTAAGAATGAATATTTTAATAAATAAAAGAAATGGTTATCGTATATGATAGGTTCTTTTTTGTTAAGATCTTGCATGTTTTCTTCTTGCTATTGTTACTGTAAATAACCATTTGTTCTGACATCGACCAACGACCGCTGATTTTCAACATCAGACTTAAAAAACCTCTTAATAAGTCAGAAAGAATGATATTGGCTATTCAATGAGGTTAGTTAATAGAAGTAAGAGATAGTAAAACAGAAACAAAAAAAGCAGTTTTTTTAAAAATGTCTTTAATATGTATAAAAATTGATGCGTAGTGTGCAAAAAATACCTTCACCATCCATACTAGCATAAGTATTTGCAAATTTTTAAGAAGAGACAACACCTTACTGTAGGTGCTGAAGACTTCTCCTAACTTGATTAAGCAACTTCGTAGTCTTGATTGTTGTAATGCTAAACCGAGAAATGTGTCGTTGAGTTAAAGTAGTACAAAAAGATTTGCATAATACAACCTCAATAAACAATTTTAGCTGAGGCAATCTAGCATATCAACAACAGATCATAGTTTTCTTCGAATATAAATTACTAATTTTCCCAGTTATCTTAGTTTCTGTCTGCAGTATGACCAAACAAACTTAACAAATGCATAATTATATAAACAAAAGAAGGTAGATAACTTGAAGTCGAAATACCGTAAAACTTCATTTTCACAAAAACTTAATTCAATTTTCTAGAGATGACAAACATCTAACAAAAGCTGAAACATTTGCTATTTTAGATAAGTTGCAGAAAACAGTCAAATATTTAGAATAAACAGAGCACAAAAAAGAAAAAAAAGTAAAAGGAAGCTGCATGTTTTTTAAGAAGAAAAGAAAGAGATTTTAGTAAAACAAAATCTTTTCAAAAATAATTATTTTAAATGGGACAAGCATCCGCAACAGTGGTACAAGAGCTACAACTTACTTCAAAAAAATAGCATACAAGACATAAAAATTGATCAGTCCACAGAAGCAACTAGAAGAAGCAGAAAGCTCACTTAGTAAGCAAAGAAAGTGTCCAAAAGTTAAAAAAGCAACCAAATAAAACCTAAGCATTAGAAGTAAGAGTTAAGCTTCAATAAGCTTATATTCTTCTATCAAATTTCTTTTTTTTCACTTAGCAACAACTACAACAAAAACTTCGAAACTTACGCAATACAAAAGACTCAAATGCGATGCTATTGCTATGACTCCTCTCGTGTAATTCCATCCCCTGCTCAACAATATTTATATTAAATAGCTAATCACCTAAAGAGATCTAAAGAGCTCTAAAATGTAAAATCGGTGGAATATCTTCCACAGCGATTATCACAATCAAAAAATGGTCGGTTTGTCATGTGCGAGGTGCCTAAATCAGGTCATTCCAAAATCAGGTAAATAGAGTTACCAAATCCAACAAAAAATAATTTTGCTGGGATGTGCATGTTTTCCACCATCGCTCCT